TTCAGGGAAATCCACAGATTTCGCCCCGCACGGATTCCCTGTGCTCTTTATGGGTTTTTTAAGTAATCCAGAGTTACGCCCAAAGATTGCGTCCCACATGGATTCGCTGTGGTCCTCATTTTTTATCAGTGAAATCGGGTAAAAGATTGCCCCCACACGGATTCGTTGTGCTCTTCATGTCTATTTTTAATGAAATCCACAGATTGCGTGCACAGATTGGTCCCATATAGATTCGCTGTGCTCCTCGGGGTTTTTTTCAGGGAACTCGGGCCACAGGTTGCGCCCCACACGGATTCGCTGTGCTCTGCATGTTCTTTTTCAGGGAAATCGGGCCACAGATAGCCTCCCCATGGATTCGCAGTGCTCTTTGTGATTTTCCACGAAATCCACAGATTGCACCCACAGACTATGCCGCAAATGAAATCGCTGTGCTCTTCAGGTTTTGAGAGAAATCCACAGATTGCACGAACCAAACACTGGATTTTTTCACCACACACACATGTACTTGGGTGTGCTCCCAGAAGTCTCGCAGAAGCTCAGGCACGTAGTTTTACCATGCCTGGGCTCGGGCAACAAATATATCGGCGTCCCCAGAATGTGCAGACATGCCTGCATGCCCAATCTGCGAATTCTCAGATTGCGCAAATTCTCAGATTGCGCGGAGCTGCCGCAGATTGCGCAAGCAATCTGGAATTCTCTGATTGTGCTCCGCAATCTGCAGATTGCGCAAATTCTCAGATTGCGCGGAACACCTATTCAATAACATCGGAACCAGGCACTCAATTAGCTCTTGCCGGATAACACTCGTGAAAGAGACAGATTCTGCTTGAAAAACACCATAGAAACCTTATGGTGGGCAATTCCTCGAATTCTCCTCCATTTCGTAATCTTCATATCAAACATGCATGAAACATACCAGAAAAAGTTATTCTTTTTAAAAGCACCAAAGCACTACAGCGTAGCTAAGTGGTAGATTATATAGCTAAGTGGTAGATTATATAGCTAAGTGGTAGATTATATAGCTAAGTGGTAGATTATATAGCCAAGTGGTAGATTATATAGCTAAGTGGTAGATTATATAGCTAAGTGGTAGATTATATAGCTAAGTGGTAGATTATATAGCTAAGTGGTAGATTATATAGCTAAGTGGTAGATTATATAGCTAACTGGTAGATTATATAGCTAAGTGGTAGATTATATAGCTAAGTGGTAGATTATATAGCTAAGTGGTAGATTATATAGCTAAGTGGTAGATTATATAGCTAAGTGGTAGATTATATAGCTAAGTGGTAGATTATATAGCTAAGTGGTAGATTATATAGCTAAGTGGTAGATTATATAGCTAAGTGGTAGATTATATAGCTAAGTGGTAGATTATATAGCTAAGTGGTAGATTATATAGCTAAGTGGTAGATTATATAGCTAAGTGGTAGATTATATAGCTAAGTGGTAGATTATATAGCTAAGTGGTAGATTATATAGCCAAGTGGTAGATTATATAGCTAACTGGTAGATTATATAGCTAAGTGGTAGATTATATAGCTAAGTGGTAGATTATATAGCTAAGTGGTAGATTATATAGCTAAGTGGTAGATTATATAGCTAAGTGGTAGATTATATAGCTAAGTGGTAGATTATATAGCTAAGTGGTAGATTATATAGCTAACTGGTAGATTATATAGCTAAGTGGTAGATTATATAGCTTAGTGGTAGATTATATAGCTAAGTGGTAGATTATATAGCTAAGTGGTAGATTATATAGCTAAGTGGTAAATTATAGCTAAGTGGTAGATTATATAGCTAAGTGGTAGATTATATAGCTAAGTGGTAGATTATATAGCTAAGTGGTAGATTATATAGCTAAGTGGTAGATTGTATAGCTAAGTGGTAGATTATATAGCTAAGTGGTAGATTATATAGCTAAGTGGTAGATTATATAGCTAAGTGGTAGATTATATAGCTAAGTGGTAGATTATATAGCTAAGTGGTAGATTATAATATATAGCTAAGTGGTAGATTATAATATATAGCTAAGTGGTAGATTATATAGCTAAGTGGTAGATTATATAGCTAAGTGGTAGATTATATAGCTAAGTGGTAGATTATATAGCTAAGTGGTAGATTATATAGCTAAGTGGTAGATTATATAGCTAAGTGGTAGATTATATAGCTAAGTGGTAGATTGATTATCTTTGGCTTTAATTTAAGCTAGGGTACCTGGTTTCGGGGTGACAGTCAATATTTTCACTTTCAGACTTCTCCAGTTTGCCGATTTCCCTCAAACAAGCGAAAGTACCAAATTCGGCCGATTTTTCTTCCGAGTGCCTTCCTTTTTACATGGATGTACATTACTGCTGGCTGTAACACCACAAAGGAAAAGTCACGACGATACCATCTCCAGCATGGTTTACATTCTTTTGATTTCGCAGGTGTTACAATGGTATGGATCGCAATGTACTTTTTTTTTTTTTTTTTTTTTTTTTTTTTTTACGAGAAACCACGAACCTCGAGAACAGAATACTGCATGGTAGAGGTGGTTGCAGACGCAACTGTGGTGGTGAAAACTGGAGCATCTCCGCCGACCTGAGGTCTCGGCTTCAGCGACACTTCAGAGCACCAAAAACTGGGGAGGAGTAGGCACAGGGGGAGGGGAGGGGGGGGGTACATTTATATAGAGGAAGGAAAAACGGAAAGATGATACATGTGATAGAGGAAGAAAATAAAAAAAATAAAAAATAAAAATAAAAAATAAATAAAATAATAAAAAATAAAAAAAATAAAAAAGGGGGGAGCCAGGGTGCAAGCAGAGAGGGTGTTCAGGGAGTGTTCAGAGGGCATCTGTGGCTGAACGCCAGTCTCGGCTGCGGAGCGACTTGTAGGCGCCTTCCTTGAATGCCTGCATTCCCTTCTGCGTGGGAAGGTTGCGTAGCAGGGCAGATGGGAGACAATTCCAGTCTTGGATCGTGGCATGGGGGAATGATCGGAGAGCACTATTACGGGCTCCGGCGGGCAGTGTCGGTGCTAGTTGGTGCTGGTGCTGGTTCTTTTGCTGGTGGCGAGTGGAGCGCCGGTGCTGGTTTGCAACTGCCCTCGGTGGTGTCATGGTGGTCAGGATTGGGGGACCGTCGATCCAATGCAGCTTGTACAGGAATGTGAGTGCTGCGACTTGACGCCGAACAGTGAGGCTTGGGAGGTATGACCCTGGGCCGATGAGCTTTAGGGCTCGGTGCTGTACCCGGTCCAGCTGGTTCAGGGTAGACTGGGACGCACCCAACCATGAAAGCGGGCAGTACTCAAGTACTGGGCGGACGAAGCCGCGATACACTGCATACTTGGCCTTGCTGTCGAGAATGGGCAGGGCCTTCCTCATGAAGCCAAGACGTTGGTGACCACGGACTGCAACCTGTCGAATGTGGGAGCGAAAGGAGAGGCTCCGATCAAAGAGCACTCCGAGCAACTTCAGCTCCTCCACTTCCTCTATGGCCACCCCATTGAAAGTGGCTGGAGGAATCGGCCAGGGTTGACGGTGATGCGAAATTGTCAAGACTTGCGACTTTGTCGGCTCGAATGCGATCTTCCAGCTCTGGCCCCATTCAGCTAAGGCATCCACAGCAGTCTGGAGCTGCGCTAGGCCAACTGGGAGAGCGGTCAGGGATGGGATGCACTGATAAAGCGTGGTGTCATCTGCATATATGGCGAGCTGGGTTGTGGCTGGGAGGTGGTCCTCCATGTCATTGACATATAGGAGGAACAGGGTGGGGCCCAGTATGCTCCCTTGCGGCACACCTGAGCTGATTCGGAATTTAGGTGAGGTTTGTCCACTCACAACGGCCTGGATTTGTCTATCCGCCAGGTAGCTGTGGAGCCACTTGAGGAGGTTCCCGGACACTCCGTAAGCCTTTGCCTTGTGAAGGACACCTGCGTGGGAGACTTTATCGAAGGCCCCCGCAATGTCGACGGCAACAATACGTACAGCACCGCCAGCAGCTGCTATCTTGCTCCATTGGTGGTGCAGTCCTGTTAGGAGATCAGCAGGTCCTAACCCTCGACGAAAACCGAACTGGTGGTTTGAGAGTATATTATTTCGTTCGAGAAAGTTGGTGAGAGCACGGTTAACAACTGCTTCCATTGTCTTGGAGATGAGCGACAGGAGGGAAATGGGCCGATAGTTCGATGGGGCTGACTTTGACCGTTTCTTATGGACTGGGACGACACTTGCCACTTTCCAAGACTGTGGTTGTGTCCCCGACGTCATGCACTGGCGGAAGAGCAAGCATAGTGGCACTGCAAGGTGCTCAGCGTTGGCTTTGAGGACTCTGCCCGGAACTGCATCAGGGCCTGACGCTTTCGAAGGATCAAGGGCCCTCAGCAATTTACGGACCTCAGCAGGGCGGAAGCGAATACTTAGGAGACGGCTTTGGGAGCGAGGCTGGACAAAGGGGACTGATTGTTGCTCTAGGGTGATTACTCTAATGTTTTGAATTATATCTATGATTCTTGTGTGCTCATTATCATAGCTCAATCATGTGAATCTGGAAGAACTACTTCACCCACCATTACTTATCAAGACCAGTTACATGCATCTATGCCATGCAATATGCGATCAAGGCATGCACCTAGATTACGGTATGCCAGGCTTGTGTATACCACATCGGGAACTGTTACCCCGTCGAGATGGCGAGTCCTAAAGCAAAATTCATCTGCTTCTGCACAGTTTATGCCCCTACGATCATGTGATATGATGATGGACGAAGTGGTACTTGGTATTTATAAGGGCAGCACGTGTCACATAGAGTACGCAATTCAACGAGGCATGGAAGTACAGACTCAACGGGAAACGCTAGTGAGGTACAAATGGAATCAAACGTGCACAACACCGGACACGTGCTATCATAGGGTTTCGTTGAAACAGTTTGCTGAATATCTCACGAATCAGCAATATGGCACCTCGACCTTGACAGTGAACGTTAAGAGATCCATTGTTCAGGGATATTTCTGTTTGGTTTCGGCCTGGGGTAATGGCCCAGCTTCTCCCACCGCACCTCCTTGGTTTCAGCTAGCAATGAAGTGTAAGTAGAAGTCAACTACACTGCATTCACTCCCTCACTTCCTCTCTTTCTCTCTCTCTCTCTCTGTATCTGTATCTATCTCTGAGTAAAAACACTTCCTCTGTCCTCCTATTGTTTGAACCAGCTCTACCACTCGGTATTGAGCACTCTCTTGGACAGCCTGGAACCTCTCTGTTTTACAGGTCGCTCTCTATCTATCTATCTATCTATCTGTTGAGTTCGAAACAGGACGACTGACGACACATTATCCAGACATTACAACGGGAACAGGTAGGTTGGGGGAACGACACGGTTTATTATAGACGACGAGACAAGAGACCAAGACGAACGAAACGACTACATTGATTATTGACGAGTGAGAAAAGAGAGAGAGAGAGATCAAGTCTGAACGGCAAGATAAAGGGCCTGGGTAGCTATGGCAAATATGGGCGCGCAAGTAGCTACCCAGGCCAACGGAACAAAAGGAGACAAAATGTGAGTACGTAAGTGCATGCAGGCCAGCTAGAAAAGGTACGGGAGGAGGTACCTAACATACAACCCCTCCATGAAAAAAAATCCCGCGTCCTCGCGGAGAGAAAAAAAGAGAAAAGATTTAAAAAAATGAACTGGAGGAGAAAACACACACACACACACATACTGCACGTGCGCATAGATCTCACGAAAGTGTGTACTAAAAATGCACTCGTACACATCATTCCTGTACTACTTATTGTGTGTAATAACTATTGGAGTTTGACGAGGAACGTGAATTACGAGTATTTTGCACGGCTAATACAGCCTAGTTACACTTTTGCTAAACATCCAAAAATTAGAGCGTGGCTCACCATGATCGGACCCCATCGGCCTCTTCATATTTGTGCAGCTGCACTGTTGAGCTTCCGATGTAAAACAAAAAATAATAATAATAATAAATAAATAAAAACTTGGTTATGTTTTACGAACACACGCGCGCGCACACACTACAAAAAAATTCACGAAAATAAATTTGACGAAGAAGCATACAAAAAAAAGAAAGAGAGAAAGGTAGCTGACCTGCATGGCTTGAACGAGAATAGACGAGGTAAGGTTGGCGTAGGAGAGACGAGGTTGATAGAGACGAGACGAGGTTGGCGTAGGAGAGACGAGACTGACATGGACGAGACGAGGTTGACATAGACGAGACGAATGGTGGTTGAGGACGGCTGGGCATGGGATGATCTCAGGGTCGTGGGTCGATCAATAATCGGGCGCCAATGTTGAGTTCGAAACAGGACGACTGACGACACATTATCCAGACATTACAACGGGAACAGGTAGGTTGGGGGAACGACAGTTTATTATAGACGACGAGACAAGAGACCAAGACGAACGAAACGACTACATTGATTATTGACGAGTGAGAAAAGAGAGAGAGAGAGAGATCAAGTCTGAACGGCAAGATAAAGGGCCTGGGTAGCTATGGCAAATATGGGCGCGCAAGTAGCTACCCAGGCCAACGGAACAAAAGGAGACAAAATGTGAGTACGTAAGTGCATGCAGGCCAGCTAGAAAAGGTACGGGAGGAGGTACCTAACATATCTATCTACCAATTTTCGTCTTTTTAACGACCTTAGTGGTCGGAAAAAGAAGGACACACCTCTGTTGCCAGCTTGAATCAGCAATTCGGAGATGTCGTGACAGATCCCACTTGGCCACCTCGCCTTGTGCCATCCCCTGGTCCATACCCCCAAAAGGTCACTCACTCGGTTCGATCCCGCCACCTGTGAGATGTTTAAACTTCTGCAGGCTATATAGGACCGAAAAGCAACCGGCAGTGACGGAGTTCCGTGCAGCATACTGAAACACTGCGCCCGTGCTCTAGCTCCTTCCCCCGCCTAGCTCCTTCCCCCACCTAGTTCCTTCCCTAACCAGCCCCATCTGTCCCCAAGAACTACAGTATAACCTGTAACTAAGGCTGCGTTTACACGACAACGATTGAAAACGATTTGCGTTTACTAGTACACGACAACGATTGAAAACGATTTGCGTTTACACGACAACGATTGAAAACGATTTGCGTTTACTAGTACATGACAACGATTGAAAACGATTTGCGTTTACACGACAACGATTGAAAACGATTTGCGTTTACACGACAACGATTGAAAACGATTTGCGTTTACACGACAACGATTGAAAACGATTTGCGTTTACACGACAACGATTGAAAACGATTTGCGTTTACACGACAACGGTTGAAAACGATTTGCGTTTACACGACAACGGTTGAAAACGATTTGCGTTTACACGACAACGATTGAAAACGATTTGCGTTTACACGACAACGATTGAAAACGATTTGCGTTTACACGACAACGGTTGAAAACGATTTGCGTTTACACGACAACGGTTGAAAACGATTTGCGTTTACACGACAACGATTGAAAACGATTTGCGTTTACACGACAACGATTGAAAACGATTTGCGTTTACACGACAACGGTTGAAAACGATTTGCGTTTACACGACAACGGTTGAAAATGATTTGCGTTTACACGACAACGATTGAAAACGATTTACGTTTACACGACAACGGTTGAAAACGATTTGCATTTACACGACAACGGTTGAAAACGATTTGCGTTTGCACGACAACGAAGTAGGACCTAAACGGAACGAAATCGTTGCATTTACTACTATCGTTTACACGACAACGCTCGTTAACGACACCTAAACGGAACGAAATCGAAACGCACTTCAAAGTGTTTTGAAACGTTTTCAAAACGTTTTCGTTCTCGTGTAAACGGTGAAAACAGTGAAAACGATAGGAAACGGAGCGCGGTCATGGAAACCATTCCGTGCGGGACTATATTTCGCGGGAAATACCTGACCTTTGCGACCACCAGCACTTACCAACTCCAACTAACGTGTTACTTCCCGCCCTTGCGCCAAGCCAGCACGTGCAAACTCCAGCCTGATCGCCCGTTTTCGTGTGAACGGTTCAAAACGATTTGCCGTTCTCGTGTAAACGGTTTGAAAACGATTCGAGGCCAGCCCGTTTTCGTTCCGTTTCGTTCCGTTTCGTTTCGCTTCGTCTCCGTGTAAACGCAACCTAATGACCACCGTGACTAGCGACCAGCCTGGTACATGTACTAAAGACCACTTCGCCAGACATGGACCGTTTCACATTCATAATTATTATTTTTGTTGTGCTGTGCAAACCTTTAACTAACTAAGGACCACGTGGCACTACAGACCGCTTTAAATGGGCCCCAAGGGGTGTCTAGTTAATCACAGGTTTTACTGTATAGGCCGATCTCGCTGCTCGCAGTAGTGTCAAAGATATTGGAGAAGGTCGTCATCAAGAGGCTCTGCCAGTTTATACACGCGGAACAGCTACTTCCCGACAACTAGTTCACCTTCCGTCTTCACCACGCGACGGAGGACGCCATCACCGTTGGAGGCGATAGCCTTCTCACGGCCACAGACCACATCCAGCATTGCGGCCTTGTAGTAGTGGTCATGAGTAAGACCTTCGAAAAGGTTAACCACCAAGCGATGGTGAAAGAGCCCCGCGATATAGGTGTCGGCTCAGTTGCCGTCGATTGGTTCGTGGACTACCTCAGTTGCAGACACCAGAGAGTAGCCTTAGCCGACGGGAAAGTCTCTGATACGACCAGCTGCATGTGCGGCGTTCCACAAGGCAGTGTCTTGGGGCATGTACTTAAAGTTTTTTCTCTCTTTACAGAAAGGAGCGTAGTCACGCCGTAGTGCAGTGTACGTCACCAGAGCTGGTTCTGATGCTTGCTGACGATATCATGGTCTATACCAGCAGTTCTGATGTAGCTACCATCAACCGTGTCAAGCGGCTTGAGCTGGGCAGGTCAAGTAGCTCCTGTTGTAAAGAAGGTGTCCTACAAATTCCGAGTCTTGCGCCACATCAGAGCAGAGATCACCCGTGCGCGGTCCCTCCTTTACTACACAGCTCTTATCCTACCTGACCTACTCCACGCCTCGAACGCCTACTTCTTCGTCAGCTTTTCAGCAAGCCTCAAACAGATCCTCATCAGACTGGATTAGCGCTGCGTCCGTTGGATCACAACCCAGCCCTCACGTGTCCACACTATGCAGCTGTATGGCAAACTCGGCATCTGGCCGGCTGTTGAGCGGGTGGATTGCAAGTTGCGGCTTGTCATACACCGTTATCTTCACGGCAATATCAGTATGGTGTTCAAATCACGCCAGGAATACAGTTGCTGCCCCGTGCCACCTGAGGTCAGGATGCCTGCAATCTGCCCCTTCCCAACATCCGCAGTATTTCGGGATCTTACAGACCAGTATTTGCTGCTGCTAAGTTGTGGAATCATTTGCTTCCTCCTTAAAGTCCTGCCCTACCACATGCCGATTCAAGCGTCTATTGGAAGTTTACTTTAATGGCTAATGCTAGGATTTTCCCTATCCCAAGGTATCTCTATGCTCACTGATTTCTTTATCCATCTATCCAGGTTATCCTATGTTTTATCCGTTTGGAGATAATTGTCCGTTGGATTTGCAATGCATTACATAAAACAAACACAACATTCATATACTTCGGAAACTCACAGCCTAGTATTCCCCTCTAGTTGTCCTGCCCTAGCACATCTCAATTCTCACGCCAATTGAAAGTTTACTTTCATGACCAATGTTAAGATCATCCTTACCCTGAGAGATCCCTAGACCAACGTTTTCTTCACTCCCCTTGATTCAGGTTATCTAATCTTATGGTTGATAAATATGGTGGTAAAGACACACTTGGCAATATGGCGGTAAACACACCCCTGCCCATACACGCTCTCTCAGCTGCAAAGTTCTGGCACAGAGCTCTCCTTCTCATCACCACCACCATCATTTCGCGCCTGGCGCCTCGTCGATGCATGGTTGGCGGCATCCGACATAGCAGGCTGGTACATCCAGTAGCGCATGGCACATAGAAGATGACACAGCAAGGAAATAGCTGGATTGCGACCTACGTTTCGTCCTCGTTTTTTAATCTTTTCTCCCTTTCCATCGTCATCATAACATTGGGCATGATTGCCCGTTGTTTGTTTGTTTGTATACTTTATTTGAATTCGCAAATCCGAACGAGCACAAATGCTCAATGACAAGGCAGCGAATATGTTATTATGTTACAAGGAAGGAGGGTTGGGGAGAAAATATGGAGAAAACCGTTTTGACTTGCGATGTAAAATAAAACAAATGCAATATAATGTGGTTTCGCAATCAGTACCTTCGCATGCCACTTCGCAAATCACACAATTCAGTAGACACTTCCTTCTATCAAACGTTTTCTTTCCATTCTCTTCAAGTTAGTATGAGTATGAGCCGCCGTGGCTTGGTGTATCGATGCTTACTTTCTAAAGGAATCACATCTCTATAATATTATTCCATTGGCTTTGTTCGTTCCAGTCTTCGTTTAATTATTCTCCCTCTCTCTCATTAAGTGTTGACTTTTTCTTTCTTTCTCTATGTGTTTTCCAAATTTACAACATTCCCTGTACTGGTACAATCCTGAAGAGAAGGGAAAGAAAACGTTTGATAGAAGGCAGTGACTACTGAATTGTGTGATTTGCGTCGTTGCATACGAAGGTACTGATAGTAAAACTGTTTTTTCACCGCCTCCAAACTACCGCTTGTATACAATGTGGTGTACGAAATTAGGCGAATGAAGTAGAGAGTCAACCGGTGACCCTAGTACAATACAAATGGAACCAAAGTTCCGTAAATACGGATCCATGCTATCATAGTGTATCCCGTGTGTTTAAAATGACATCATTATTTATTTATCATCATTTTCTGGTTAAGAAAAAGCCAACTTGTTGCTAATGATTGTTCTCTTTCCTCAATGTAGTTTCAAAGACTCCGGTCGCAACCACAACTGTTCAACCTTCCACCAAGACATCGATATCACGTCCATCGCCAACTGCAGGGGAGAGACATACAACAATAACTGAACTTGATACATCGTTTCCAGGTTTGTTTGGATTGGAATTTTACAAGCATGAAGAACGAAATTATAAAGAGGTTATAATCTGGAAGTAGCTTCACAATGTAATTTTTAAGGTGACTTGCACCAGGCATTGCCTTGCCTTTCTTTGTAGTTTGAAGTTGTCGAACCCGATAGTGTGCTTCGTTTCCGAGGCGATTAGCAATCTTTCAACCAGGCTGCGAATCATAACCTCCCGAGTTTTATATCAGCGTTTGGAGTCGAGATCATGCACTGTGCTCACGATTTACGTGATGTAAGCGTGAACCACGTATCAGGGGAATGGATGAATCATCTTCAGAGGATCCCGTTTCTGATGCACGTGTTATTGGCGAATAGCAGAATAAGACAGTTCCCACTGGACTAGTCTTGGATGAAATTATCATTGTGTCCAGACATATTGGTTTCCATTATACCCATTTTTGTTTTAATTAAATTTTTATTTTCTTTAGCTAACCAGAGGGTAAGCAGCAGCATTCGGCAGTTCTAAGGTACCTCTTGTTGCCGTTGTGGGCAAGTGAGTGTATGTGGTCGCCACAGAGCGCAATGGTGGTGGTCAATGTCAACGCGAAAATGTTCTTTAGCTGTTGCGAAAAATGGTTTTTTTCTTTGCTAATGCCCTTACCAGATACTTTCAACACTTGTCACTTTACTTGCAATGAACTACTATCGGCCCATAAGCCTGGTTTTAGTGTTGACATACATAGAAATACCTGTCTTGTATAAAAGCCTGTGTCATATACATGCAGAGGCCTGAAAATAGTTCCCCAAAAAAGTCATATAAGCCACGGATAATATACACTACTTCACGGAATTTGAAAATAACCATTTTCACGGAGACAAGAATGCAATAATATCAAGGGGAAGAACACACTGCATGTTCTTTAGACACTTGTTTTTCAAGAGCTTGACGTGTGTTCTTCTCCTTAGTATTATAATAGTACCCGCTTCGAATATGAGAATCTTGATTTTACTACTTCGAAGTACACCATTGAGCGTGTTTGCTTCAATGGCGTAGGAGGAAACCGTTAGTCATCCGTTTGGGATTGTATTGTGTAAGGATATGATATGTTCCGGCAATGTACAAAGAGGCCAACATAACCTCCTAAGAGTGTAAATCTATGCATATGGGATCTCCGACGGCGAAGACTCACATCATGTGTCTCAGGTACGTTTCGTACCGCGGAAAAACGAAGGATAGCGTGCCCACTCGAATCTTTGGCATGATCATGCTGGTGATTAGCATACGCGCAGTGAGTTTCTGTCAGAGAGTGTTATTTTTATTACTCCGCTGATCGCGAAAACGGGCTGGAAACGTACAACTGCGACACTTCACCACGGGATGTGAGTTTCGCCGTCGTGACGCAACCCCATAGAAAGAGTATCAGGATTGACACAGTCTTGGGAGCTTATAATACTCTTGATGATATCTTTCCACACTAGTCGTGCGACCGATCCGATTGCATATCAAAGTTTCAATCAACCAGCTAGTACTCCAAAGGATGATGATATAGGACCAATGGGTGCAATTCACATGATTTAATACAGATATTACGGTGATACAAACAGTTAAGCTCGGAAAGTAGAGCATAATGAAGGATGAAACACAGATGTAAGTTGCTTATGCAAATCTACCTGAGAGGGATGAAAGGCTTACAGTGCTCTTCAGGGATCAATTTCGAAACATCCTGGTTTCTCCCGTATCCTTTCCATCCTCTTAATGGTCTGAGGATTGCCAGGATATGGCATCAAGTTGTAAGTTACAGCTTACCAGACGCGTGGTGTTCGGGTGATTTAGTTTAGTCTCGAATCCTGTATCCGCTTTTTAATTCTATTTCAGTTGATTGCAGTATTCGAAGAAATATGCTGTAAAACCTAGTGATTTCTAAAAGGCTCTCTTGGTTTTATCATGTTCCTGTTGATACAGTAGAGCTTGGACAGTTATGAATTGTAGTTGCTTGTTTGTTTTTTGTTTGTTTTTTCGACCGCCTTAGAGCAATCTATCAGTCCTCCCGACCCCAGCACAGCAACAACAATGAAATCCGAGTCGGACAACACCAAACCATTTTCAATGCCCATCTATGAAACAACTGAGCACCCGGAGACACAACTACCAACTGACTTTGCCACAGAATCCGACCATTCGTCTGCGGTACTATCCCAACGCTCCATCATCATTATTTCAGCATCCGCAACTGAGCACCCACAGACACAACGACCAACTGACCTTGCCACAGAATCCGACCATTCGTCTGCTGTACTATCCCAACGCTCCATCATCACCATTTCAGCATCCGTAGGCATCATCATGCTGATATCTATCACAGTGCTTATCATTCGCCTACGTCAGTGTCGATCATCAAAGGCTGGACAAGGAGAAATGCGTTCAAAAATCTCTCCTGGAAGCACAAGGACAAAGGAAGAGGGAAGGCAGCATGAACCAAACAGCTTTTTGCAACCACAGACATCTAGGTCGTGCGAAGCACAGCTTGTGGCGGGTGCGTCGCCTTCAGAATCGAATGTATCCAAACAAAGTCAAATTGCGATCCAGTCTGATTTCGCCATGTACGAAACAATCCTAGATGGTGATAAAGCAGCCTCCAACGTGGCTTGTCCCGTTAAGGATGGCCATGCCACAGCAGTTCCCATGTACGAGAGTACAGCTTACATCAGCCTTGAAAGGTCTTGCGATGTCACGCAGAGCGATGCATACGGGTTGCCAACTGATATGTAACACTGCGTTTTTTGTTACTTTTTGCTTGACTGATGCTCTTAGCTGCACAGTTTAACTACAATAAGATAAGGTGCTGCGGAGTAGGTAAATTCTTTCAGTGAAGCACTCCAACTCAAATCCATTCACTTTTCCCAGTTTTGGCCCGTGGCAGATATCTATTACATGTGTCTGTTTTGGAAGCGTTATATATTCGTAAGTTGTCCCCTGAACCATGTGTTCAGAAGGAAAATGTTTTGTCACTTCAGTTGTTTGGCGCTAATCCTCGTGAAAGTGTCAGGAATGCTGTCCTTCATTGATGTTTTCATAAAGTTTTAGTCATTTCTTCACCTTCACCCTGTTTTTGACCTGTTCAGCTGAATGGTATTTTTCCACACGTATAGTGTGAGGTTCTCGATCTATGCTTTTGCTGCAGCTCTATGAGATGCTGTATTTTGACATTTTTTCCATTATTCCCTGTACTCACCCATGATGAGTACGTAACGAAAACATTCGGTTACTAAATTGGCTTTACATGACTGTGCGGATGGCGTCAGTGCTGACAACTTTCCATTCGAAATTGGTTACGTCTCAAATTGTTTCCTCCATTCACTTGAATTATTTTATTTTTCATTTTACGGCCTGCAATTGTACACCAAGAGAGACTGTTCAGGATTGCTTCCGTATTGTAAACATTGGGTGTTTTCATGAGTGCCTACAAACTTCGGATTCTGCTTCGTACAAACGAGGAATGGACATATTGTAATGCGTGTGAAGAATATGACGCTACTGCAGTTCTCACGTTCTAAATACTAACCGGCCCTACTGTTACCAAATTTACAATTTTTTTCTCCTTTGTTCGCGCATAGTTATCATGTTCTACCTCTACCTCGAAACGTTTTCAAATTCATCATTTTGGACACTGTCAGTTGCAAATAGTAGGTTTTCCGTCGACTGTATTCGTCAAAGTTGTGTGGTAAACAATATCTTCATTTCATTCTAAACAGAACTGTTTCGTCCTGTGTGGACTCTGAGCGTAGCACACAGAAAATGAGGCCGAACCTGATAGCAATTAAAAATCAAATTCCAAAGGCAGATTTAAACCAGGGTCGAACGTACCGTGCCAGAGTGCCAAACTGTAAAGTCATTGAGCTCTGCATAACGCAAACAGCAAAGGCACTACCCCGCATTAGAGTGCTCAACTGCTACAAAAAGCAGGAGCGATATATCTCCTCCAATGTCAAAGTTAATGACTTCCAAAATTTGAGTTTAAACACAGAGTGAAAGCCAAGTATACGTAGCAGAAAAACCATACATGAGGGAAGAAAGAAAAACAAGAACACGCATAGTGCTTCCGGAAAGTGTGCCCTCATCAACTGAGTTTGAGGAGGCTGATGATATTTGTGCTCTGAGAGAACTGCAATATGTAGAGCTCTACCAGGATAAACATCATTAGGGTTACCAAAGTACGGGGCACTCTGCTCCCCACGCTACAAACACCTCACGAACAAAAGGCAGCAACTTGAGCCAGTGCCGCCCATGGAGGTGATGCTAGTTGTTGCCTTCCAATCATCTACATGTAGTCGCAAGTGACTAGGCGGTTGGGAGAAATAATTATGTGAATTCATGTGGGCAGGAAAAGCGAGAGCTCCCGCCACGAGAGCAAGACGGACTTTCTCAAGTATCGCCGAGGTCGATACAAACCTTTTCTTCGTCAGAAAGCCTTTCTGTTCGAAATGGGAATTCATTGAAGCACCTACCGTACATAGTGCAGAGATATTTCTTCTGCGTACGTTAGTGTGGAATAACGAGTGAACACAATGGTGTTTGTACGCAGCACGCACCATTTGTTCTAAACTCGTCCCCCATTTGCACATGTATCACGAAAAACTTCCGAAATGGAAGTTCAGTCAATAGCAGATAGGCATGCAAAGAACACTCAGCAGTTACTTCGAAGTAACTAACTCGTTTAAGTCACTAATCACGATCCACGTGCATGCACCGGAGTCAAAAATGGATCCTAGTATAAGGAACTTGACACCTTCCGGTGCAGACGTGTCAGATGCACACGCATGTCTGCGAGTTCATTAGAAATTTAAAAGATAAGAGTTAGCAGAGTGCATGAAATGTTATGCTACTCTTCGTGAATCATGGATTCTGAAAACAACTGGTGGTGCTTGTTACTGGTATTATCACGATTTGCTGAGGTCAGCAAGAACTGTTTCGTTCATTTGGGACTCATCAACCAGAACAGAGAAAATGAGGCCGCACCTCACAGCAATGAAGAACACAATAGGAATGAAAAATAAATTTTACAAAGTTACGTTAAAATCAGGCGGTAGTTACTTTTCCGGAGTGTTATTGCACATCACTGAGATCTTCGTAATACGAACAGCAACGCCTTTACCGGCACTACCCCACACCTACACCTACATGTATCTTAAAGGTAAAAGAGTTTCCGCCTCTCTACTGACACACATGCGTATACACAGACAGTCAAACTTTCACTCACTTATACTCAAATCATACACAATGTACTTACAATGTACAATATACATACAATGTGCTTACAATGTACTTACAATGTACTTCGAAGTAAATTGTATGTAGGAACATATAATTATGCATTCACAGACCAATGCGCGCACGCCCACGCATCACAAAGTCATACAAAACGGCTTGAAAAAAACAGTAGTTCGCTGTACTACATGTATGTAATCAAGTATTATGTACACATACTATCCGAGCGGATCTGGATTGCATTATTTCGGAGTACATGTACATGGCCTTGCAAAATGGGGTTTGCCATCCGCTGCCTCATGTATCTGAACTGTACGTAGAATTCGGAAGACCTGATGTCGGCCATCGATAAGAGCCTGCAAATTCATCCATGTACATTGTCAGTTTAGCCATAGCACAGTGCTACCAAGGATAGCAATGTGCTCGATATCCTGTCAGGTGGTGATGTCTGGCCGGATACAGTGGTACGTGAACCCTTTTCCTGAACCACATACGCATTGATCTGTCCAAAGCAACACAATGAGCCACTGGGATAACAAAACGTGGACCTGAACAACCGCGGGTCTGGAATGCACTCTTTATTTCACCTGGGTATGGCAGTACATGATCTGCAGCGTTTTAGTATTCGTTCTGTCACAATATACGCACACACGTCCATGCTCACTTCGATAATATTGTGGTAGCTGAGATTAATTCTGAGTCAGTAGGTAGGTTTTTGTCGTACTGATGATCTTAGCTTTACAACCAGGCTCGGTCTTCTCTGCTGAGGTGTATCCTATGGAAGCAATTGTCTGAATAAGATATCCGTCGTGCCTTACCACTGATTAACTACAGAAATCTGAAGCCAACTCGAGTTTTGCAGTATGAGTTTCTCGCATTCTGTTACCGTTCCCGAACATCGCGTCAGGCTGTGTTCTACACTGCTACTCTGGATTATTGCCTTCACAGGTAAGACATTTGAAACTCGGGTATTGAGCCAATAATAAAAGTAGAAAGGAAAAGGACATATGGAAACGAGTTAAGAGTAACTCTCCACCACTGTAACTAGATACTATAATTATACAGTCAGAAAGTGCAACAACTAGGCACAAAACTGACAGAGTACTGAGACATTCGACGTCCTGACACCTAACTTCCACACATTTCCGTAGCGCTAACCGACAGCCTTCCAACTTGGAAGGTTCAAGGTTATGGAAAGACCAAAGAGGGTAAGGCAAGCGCAACGAAAACGAGCACAAGCTACAGTCCCAACGGAACAAAGAATGTCGATTGTTACTGGACGATGACAAGACCAGTAGGATATTTGACAAAGCGGTCTAACTACAATTCGTAGCAGCAAAGCAGCACACCACCCAACTTGGGTGGGTCGCTTGCCTTCCCCTCTTTGGTCTTTCCATAACCTTGAACCTTCCAAGTTGGAGGGCTGTTGGTTAGCGCTACGGAGATGTGTTGAAGCTAGGTGTCAGGACGTCGAATGTCTCAGTACTCTGTCAGTTGTGTGCCTAGTTGTTGCACTTTCTGACTGTATATAGTATTGTATCTAGTTACAGTGGTTGAGAGTTATTCTTAACTCGTTTCCATATGTCCTTTTCCTTTCTACAGGAACGATACATGTACATAATGATAACAGCGTTCATTGGTCTCTGAAGTAGAAACAGATACATGTATTACTGTGCGTTTCAGCAATACAATTATATGCAACAAAATCTCCGTCAATGCTGGTAGTAACATGACACTGAGAGAGAAAATTTCTTCGTAGAGCCAAACAAAATACATACAGCCATCCACATATCGCCAACAATGAATGCAACTCAAACATGTCAAAAATAATAGAGCAATACGCATGTACAATAAAATCCTCAGGAATAGAAAACCTCACCCTGTGCCATTTCACGCATTGGAAATCCTCCTCGTGTATCATGAAATTCCCAGATTGCACAATCCTGTATCTTGTTGGGAATCCTCAGATTGCACTGCGCAGTCTGAAAATTTCCAGAATGCGCAAGCATGTATCTGCGCAATGGGAAAATTCCCCTAGTGCGCAGTCATGCAATCTGCGAATCGAGCCACAATTTGCCCCCCCCCCCCTCCCCACATGGATTCACTGTGGTTTTCATGCTCTTTCAGGGAAATCCACAGATTTCGCCCCGCACGGATTCGCTGTGCTCTTTATGTTTTTTAGTAATCCAGAGTTACGCCCAAAGATTGCGCCCCACATGGATTCGCAGTGCTCCTCATTTTTGTTTATCAGTGAAATCGGGTAACAGATTGCCCCCAGACGGATTCGCTGTGCTCTTCATGTTTTCTTTTTTCAAAGAAATCCACAGATTGCGCCCACAACGATTCGCTGCGCTCCTCGTTTTTTTTTCTCAGGGAACTCGGGCCACAGATTGCGCCCCACACGGATTCGCTGTGCTCTGCATGTTCCTTTTCAGGGAAATCGGGCCCCAGATAGCCTCCACATGGATTCGCAGTGCTCTTCGTGATTTTCAACGAAATCCACAGATTGCACCCACAGACTACGCCCCACATGAAATCGCTGTGCTCTTCAGGTTTTGAGAAAAATCCACAGATTGCACGAACCAAACCTGGATTTTTTCACCGCACACACTTGGGTGAGCTCCCAGAAGTCTCGCAGAAGCTCAGGCACGCGGTTTTACCGTGCCTGGGCTCGTGCCACAAATAAATCGGCGTCCCCAGAATGCGCACACATGCCTGCACAATCTGGGAATTCTCAGATTGCGCAAATTCTCAGATTGCGCGGAACTGCCGCAGATTGCGCAAGCAACCTGGAATTCTCAGATTGTGCTCCGCAATCTGCAGATTGCGAGGAACATATTCAATAGCATCGGAACCAGGCACTCAATTAGCTCTTGCCGGATAGCGCTCGTGAAGGAGATAGATTCTGCTTGAAAACCACCATAGAAATCTTATGGTGGGCAATTCCTCCAATTCTCCTCCATTTGGTAATCTTCATACCGAACATGCATGAAACGTACCAGAAAATGGTACTACAGTATTCTATTTAAAAGTAACAAAGGACTACAGCGTAGTTAAGTGGTAGGTTATCTTTAGCTAGGGTCCCTGGTTTCGAAGTGACAGTCAATATTTTCAGACTTCTCCCGTTTGCATCTTTCCCTCAAACAAGCGAAAGTACCTAATTCGGCCGATTCTCTTCCGGTTGTACGCCTTTTTGCATGGATGTATATTACTGCTGGCTGTAATACCACAAAGGACAAGTTACGACGATACCATCTCCAGCATGGTTGACATTCTCTTGATCCCGCAGGTGTTACAATGGTATGGAGCACGCTGTACTGATTGTTGCTCTCCGGTGATTACTCTAATGTTTCGAATAATATCTATGATTCTTGTGTGCTCATTATCATAGCTCAATCATGTGAATCTGGAATAACTACTTCATCCACCATTACTTATCAAGACCAGCTACATGTACATGCCACTACGCCATGCAGTATGCGATCAAGGCATGCACCTAGATTACGGAATACCAGCCTTGTGTATACCACATCGGGAACTGTTACACCGTCGAGATGGCGAGTCCTAAAGCAAAATGTAACTGCTTCTTCAGCACAGTTCATGCCGCTGCGATCATGTGATATGAAAATGGACGAAGTGGTATTTCGTATTTATAAGGTCAGCTCATGTCACATAGAATACACAATTCAACGAGGCATGGAAGTACAGACTCAGCGGGAAACCCTACTGAGGTACAAATGGAATCAAACGTGCACAAGACTGGACACATGCTATCATAGTGTTTCGTTGAAACACTTTGCTGAACATCTCACCAATCAGCAATATGGCCCCTCAATTTTGAGCGTGAACGTTAAGAGATCCAAGACTCAGGGAGCCTTCTGTTTGATTTCGGCCTGGGGTAATGGCCCATCTTCTCCCACCGCACCTCTTTGGCTTCAACTAGCAATGAAGTGTAAGAAGAAAAACGGAACAAGTCTACTACACTGCATTCACTCTCCCTCTCTCTCTCTCTATCTCTCTCTATCTATCTATCTATCTATCTCTCTCTCTCTATCTCTCTCCCTCTCTCTCTCTCTCTCTCTCTTTCTTTTTCTCTCTCTGTCTCTGTCTCTGTCTCTGTCTCTCTCTGTCTCTGTCTCTCTCTCTCTCTCTCTCTCTCTCTCTCTCTCTCTATCTCTCTCTCTCTCTCTCTCTATCTATCTATCTATCTATCTACTCAATCTGCGGGCAGAACTATTTTGTCCGTTGTGGACTCATCAGCGCAGCACAGAGAAAATGAGGCCGAACTTGATAGCAATGAAAAACATTTCCAAAGCCAGATTTCAATCAGCCTCGAACATACCTTGCCATAGTGCTCAAACTGACAAGTCTGACAAGTCTGGCAAGTCTGACAAGTCTATCTCCTAGTATTTATTAATCTATCTATCTCTCCTTCCATTTGACCTACTCAATTTGAGTTTATCTTGGGTTAGAGACCTTCAAATCAATGGCGCTTAGGTTGTCATTGATCGTGGCGTTGGTACTCATGCCATAACAAGTAGGGCTGCAACGGGTATGGATTCCGTCGGGTAACGGGTTCTATCTGAGTAGCACAGGTACCCTGTCGGGTTATTTCTGACATGGTTTGTACTGTGAGTTTGCCCTTGCGCTGCCTAGAATGTGTACATTAAGCACGTAGCCACGCTTTTTACATGCACCGTTGCAAAAAAAACATACTCCAACTACCCGATCAGATTCTCAGGAGCAAATTGCCACTCGGGTACCCGATCTAATTACGGGCAGCACGGGTACCTTTCTGCCCAGTGACTCCAGGAAAGACTATATGCGCAGCTTATGAATCGGCTGACACACGAACTCGCATCCGCAATTTCACTCCCAACTTCTCGGGCTTTCTGCGTTATGAGATTTCTTGGTGGACTTTGAAACAATATTTTGATAATAATATTCTTCTTCAGCTGACTGAGCTTGAGACGACTTGTACCGGGCACGTGGAGAGGACACAACAATCGCTCACTTTCCTCAACACTGCATCTTGTAAAAAAAACCTACTACATGTATTACGAGTATAATAATATTTTGTTCGTTGACCCTCTGGACCTCCAAGTAGATCAGCAATGCAACACACGTACGTGCATAAGTAACCATCTCCGGTTTGCAGCAATTCAGTTGAATAACGTTATTCGACAATAACATGTATTCATTATCAATCTCAAATCAGATGTCATCAGTCGAGATATGTAGACCTCCAAACAAAACACCTTTATACGGCGCTATCGGACATCGAAAGGAAATTTTCCGCCCTGTTGCATGAAAAGGAGGCAGCGATTAGGAACTATTCATAGACGCGAGAGGGCTGCTGCCGTTCGCCATCAGTAAAGAATTTTAATTTCTTGGCCATTTCTGTAGTAGACAAAATAGAGTGCATGTAGAAGCAGGCATGTGTGCAGTTGCGTTCTCAAAAGACATCATCCCATGTACTTTGAGTTATAAATCATATGAGTTTTGTAAATGGTTACTGTTTCCTCCATGCAGTTGTAAATATTCCAGGCGTCATATCAGCGCATCCACCTCCCATACCTTCGTCGATTTCCCCTACGTCGCCAGCAACCCTGGAGAGCCTTACGTCCGTACCCGCACTACCCACATCGGTATGGAAACGGACCTCGGAGACACAGTTCACATCCAAGTTTCAAGGTTGGTTTTCTTTGGACCCACTGCTTTTCCGAACTTCAATTAAATAAACGAAATTGACACCAGGGGATGCCGTTGAAAGTAGATTCAATTAATTTGAATGAGCCAATGAAAATAATCCTCAATAGTGCCTCCTTCTTTCCCCACGATTGTCATCATTTGATGCTGCTGCTACTTATAAAATTCCTTGGACAAAGCCGAATGCTGACGCGATATTCATGTACTTCATATACCACTGTACGAGTTCCATTGCAAGCATACTGTTTTACACAATATTTTGTTTTATCTGGTCATGTTGATAGGAATTGTACCGCATGTACATGTATATACAAGTATGCCAAAATATCCGGCTTCCAGTAATTCAGTTCATCTTTCGACAACATGCAGTCGCTGTCATTCTCAAATCTGATATCATGAGTCTACTTCTGTAGAACTCCAAAAAAACACCTGGATACTGCGCTTTCGAAAATCGAAAGGAAATTTCCACCCTGTTGCATGAAAAGGAGGGAGTGATTAGGAATTATTCATCAACGGGAGAGGGCTGCTGCTGTGCGTCATCAGTAAAGTTTTTTTAATGAATTTGTCAGTAGTACCCAAAAGAGCTGCATGTAGGCACAGGCCCTGACACAAGCCAGTTGTTGTTGATTGTATTTTGATTCGTTGACCAAACCGGACAAATATATCCAATAACAATGGGATAAATAAAGAGAGGCACAGTGCCATGGATATAGTGAGAGAGGAAGAGAGAGCGCGGGCATGTGTACAGAAAGAAGTGTTCGCCAAGGACATGAATTTTTGACTTAATTAAAAGCGGGCAGCCTGGTCGTAACATCCCAGAAAATCGAATTTGTAAATTCATATCGAGTACTCCATCAGTTGAAAGAGCATGAATAGCTGCAAAATCTCTGAAATTTTGGCTTGATCTGACCAGCCGTTCCAGAGTTACGGCCAAAAATGTGCCCTTGCAAGGAAAGATTTTTTTGTTGCACGCTGTCAGTTTTTGACAGCACTGTATTTTAATGTGAGCAAACCGTGCGCAACTTGTCGTATCATGGAAACATGCGAAAGTGTCCATGTCCAAAAAATCACGTTTTTAGCCATGTATTGGGCGGCACGGCGGCGGTCTTCGCCCGCCGCCGTGCAGCAGGACTTTTGCCAGCACCCTCTTGACGTTGCAGATATGTGGCTTGATTATTGCCGTTGAAGTTGATTTAGTGACTTTGGTAAGTTTGAGTCGTGTCAAGAAGTCAGGTTGGATTCAGTGCTAGGCAGTAGTGGAACGTGAGTGTTAGTCTTTGCCGATTTTCCAGTGTATCCTGGATTTGGTTTGCAGCGCTGTGGAAATGGCTTGCTGTGGAGGTCCTAGCACTGGATGTTGTATTGAAGGGACGACCTCGTAGCACGCCCTAAACCTAAAAAAATTCAAAAATTGACTTGGGTCTGTGGGAGTCTGTGAGCGAACGCCCACTCGTGCCATTGTGACAGATTCCAGGGCCACGTTGAGGGACCCTATCCCACCACCCATGGCTGCTTCTGGACTTTTTTAGGTTTGGACCCCACGCACGGACAGATTGGGCAAGAAAATTTGAAAAAATTGTACTTCGGAGGAAGTAAATGCATTTTTTTGGCTCCTGGGTGACTCGCACACCGTTGCACTATGCCGGCCTGGAAAGCATGTCAGTGAGGCGCAAGAACTTTTAATCATGTCCAGAGGGCCAGCATAGTGGCAGGAGTGTGTGGCGAAACTTTCACTCAAATCCATTGAGAGACACCAAAGTTACGGTCAATTGAATGCCATATGAAATTTACGACCAGGCTGCTACCTTAAAAAGCTTTTCTTGTCGATGGTTACTGTTTCTTCGATGCAGATGTAAAAACTCCGCTCGTCACATCAGCTCATCCACCTCCCATGCCTTCGGCGAATTCATCTCCGTCTCCATCGGCCGTGGAGAGCCTTACTTCCATAACTTCACTACCCACATCGGCATGGAAAGGTACCTCGGAGAAACAGTTCACTTCCAAGTTTCCAGGTTGGTGTTCTTCGGACCAACTGCTTTTCAGAGCTTGAATTATAGAAACGAAATTTATACCAGGGGATGCCGTTGAATTTCAGTTATTTGGAATGAGCCAATTGAATAATCCTCAATGGTGCCTACTTCTTTCCCCACGATTGTTGTCATTTGTTGCTGGTGCAATTTATAACATCCTTTGAACAAAGCCGAATGCTGACAGGACATTCATGTACTTAATGTACAACAGTACTATACGGGCTCCAGTGCCAACATACTGATTTACAGTTTTTTAGTGTTATCTGGCCATGGGGATAGGAAGAATCACAGCTAATGCCCTATCAAAATTCTTGGTAATACAAGTATGCTCTCTATAGCCATCCTACTATATTCCACCACCACTGGTCCAGTTACACACCTTTGTAACGGAATAATGCCTGGTGCCATTGAGTATGTGTGTCATTCGGCTCTGCGCTGTATCGCACACTTTGGCAAAAATCAGCAACAACGCTTGTAGCCAAAAAAAACCATGGAACATAGGAAAACTGAGATTTCCTGCATCTTGTGACTGCTTTACAGATGTCGATCAAACCTCAACTCAGGAACGCAATAGGAGCGGAGGGATTACCTCATCGATCACCTCACGGATGTCAATTGCAAACAATGTAGATAGTGTATTCACAAGAAATCAAGGAAGTTCGGCACCGGCCACCTCTCCAAGAGCAATATCTCCAAGAGCAACATCTGCAAGAGCAACATCTCCAAGAGCAACATCTCCAAGCCCTCTTTCCTCCAATTCCACAGGGGAAATACTAGGTATAGCATGCGGCGCGTGTCTTATTCTGATTCTTGCAGCCCTTCTTGCCATTCTCTACTGGAGGCGACGAAAGTCAAAAGCATCAATGCGAAATCCACGGGGAAGAGAAATGCAATCACAGGCCCATGATAATCCACACTACAGCCTAAATACCATTAGTAGGCATTACAGAGGCTCAGGCTGAACACCGGCTAGATTCACCCACTCACTATTCACTGGCTGCACCCTGCCATGGTCCTGCTCAAGAGCAAGGTAATAATGCACAGCGCACAGCACAGCACACAGAGGAAGCTTACTACAGTGTAGCAACGAGTGCAGCGCACAGCCAGGATGCACAGACGTCAACAACGGAATACTCGCTAGCACGTCCAGCACGAGCCTCCCCACAGCCCGCAGCTACCTACGATGTTCTACACAAACACAGGACCCCTGGCGGAGCACACAGTGTCATTTTGGAAACAGATTATGACCACATCCAGTGCCCCAGGGCTGCTGTTGGTTCTGCAGATGTCGGAGGCAATGGTGGACAACTGATCACTGAGGAGCTGTCCTCGCTTTCTGAGCCTCGTATCAACACGAATCCACTGGAATCCGGATTAGATCAAACTTATGAGGAGACGACTTCCACCAAATCGACTGTGGTGGGCCCGAGTCAAGCAAGGAACACGACGCCATTCCCAACAGACCCAACAAGCATAGCCAAAGATATCAAAGGGGACACACGACCGTACAGCCATGATGCACAGACATCAACAACCGAATACTCGCGAGCAGGTCCAGCACGAGCCTCCCCACAGCCCGCAGCTACCTACGATATTCTACACAAACACAGGACCCCTGGCGGAACACACAGTGTCATTTTGGAAACAGAATATGACCACCTCCAGTGCCCCAGGGCTGCTGTTGGTTCTGCGGATGTCGGAGGCGATGGTGGACAACTGATCACTGAGGAGCTGTCCTCGCTTTCTGAGCCTCGTATCAACACGAATCCACTGGAATCCGGACTAGATCAAACTTATGAGGAGACGACTTCCACCAAATCGACTGTGGTGGGCCCGAGTCAAGCAAGGAACACGACGCCATTCCCAACAGACCCAACAAGCATAGCCCAAGATATCGAAGGTGACACACGACCGTACGACAACATAACCCTGGGCCTGGTGCAGTCCACCGTCAGTTACACTAGTGATACACCTTGGGAAGAGCGCATACGTACACTCGATGAGAGTACAGCTCTCGGTGGTGCTGAGGAGAATGAGTATGCTACTGCACAACCCGTGCTGGGTGGTAAAACATACTTTGCGCAAAGTGAGTATGAAGCTCCTTCTGAACTGTGAATTTGATGAGTTGCGAGCCATACTGTTATCATGCCATCTGCTATGCATTAACTTTGCCATCGTCAACACGTCTTCACTTCAAAATCTCAACTTATTACACAATCAGGTCTTCCCAAGTCAACCGCTCAGAGAACTTCAGGACGGTATCGTTACTCACGGATGGTCCCCACATCCAGTGTTTTACAAGTCATGCATGAGTGGAAATCACTCATGTCCGGTCCTGTATCTAGTGGTTCTAGAATTTAGGAGTGTTTGAGTCTGCCTTTTTCGTTCTGCCGTTATATCACGCAAGTACTGTTCTCTATCTGACCTTTTTTGCAATTTTCTGTATGTGCCCAATGCACACTTGTTGTGTAGCTTTCGACTTCCTAATTCTCGGCTGTAGTTTATTAGTAGAATAGTACACTACACATATTTGCTCGTAGTATAATATACTCATGTACAATCAAGTACTTGTATGTCCGCGGCGTTTGCCACTCCGTAGGTCTACGTCAACTATCTGTACAATGTCATGGCTGTATCATTATTACAGTACAGCACGCAGCAGTTTTTCAAGTTTTATTTGTTGAAGTAAATTGTTGACCTTTCTTATATTTTTTGGAATGTTTTGATATTTTCTGTTTCGCCTATCCTGCAGTTGCATGCGTACAATCACCTCATTCCCGCTCGTTCCTCATTCTTCCTTCCAATTGGCCAATGCTGGTTTTTTATGCATTGTGTAATTCCTCAGCGTTATTTGCAAAAAGAATAATAATCTAGTGGTTCCCCAATGTCATGATGTAAGTGGTCGTGTTATCAGCCTGGTCCAGCATGAATAGCCCCACTGCGGTTTCTACTTTTATAATAATCATTTCTAGCATCTTTATTGACGTCCCCCCCCCCCCCCGCCCGCCTTAAACATGTACATGCACTTGACTCTACTTGTACTACTTTACACCCCAATGTCTTCTATGTCAGCCACTTCTAAAAGAATCCACTTGCAGGAATATCGAATACAACTCATTCAACACTAGTGTTTCTTGTTACGCTATCCACGTCAAAACCTTGGGATACACTTACACTTCATTTGCTGTACAGTCAACCCTGCGGATAGCAGCGGTGGGATTCGAACCCACGCCTCCGGAGAGACTGGTAATGAGCTGCCGGTACTGTACAATTCTGAAAAATACAGTACAATTCAACACGGCAGCTCGTATCTCACTCCTGACGTTTTACGGACGCTAAAAGGTATGCTGCTCGTAGTGCATGGTGGGCGAAAGATGTAAATTTCCGGGCACACTGTACGTGTGAAGTGCTCTCACGCTGCATCTTTGAGGACCTTGCCTTGGTGGTAATTTTAATTTACAGTACAATGTACATAATGTAACAGGTTTAATCAAACTTGAAAAGTAAGAGGCCTGGTTGAGCGTGCCTCGACCAGTTATATGCAAAATGTGATAGTATACATGTGGCAATGGCGCCAATGAAGGTGCTAATAGACAGGCGTAAGACGCATGAGGTGCGAGGGAGTGTAAAGTTATAGAGAACAGGGGAAAACTGTTACATCATCCCCCTCCTATGGAGAGGAAGGAGCTTATAACCCAAATGCTCAAGTGGAATAGAGTACAATAAGCGCAAACACGTGCGAGACGAAAAAAGGCTTCGCACTGAAGTAACACAATAAGACGACTGAAACTCCATGCAAATAAAGTGTAATAAGCTCAACAAATGTGTAAGGTGAAACTAGAAGTTCAACTGCAAAACTCAGCGGGCAGAAGCCAAGGTTTTGTACTTCTGAAGTGGAACAATGTCATTACCAGATTCATCCAACAAATAATGTTCAGGCTCCCAAGTGGCATCAGAGTAGCCTTGCCACTTGACTAGGTACTGAAGCTGATTCTGCCGGCGGCGGTGACTGAGAATGTTCTCCACCACATAGCGGGCATGACCATCAAGGTCCGTGATAGGCGGAGGCGTAGGCTGTCTCCTATTAGGAATAGCGTTCTTCTCGTAGGCACGGAGTGCCGACACATTAAATACCGGGTGACAGCGGCTGGTATGAGGCAACTTGAGCTTGTAGGCATTCGGGCCGACCACATGGGTTATAGGAAAGGGGCCAAACCACTTGGGGCGTAATTTATGGGATGGTCGGTCCCGAGCTTCAGGAGTCAGGAGGAAATCCCGGTAGACCATTACCAAATCTCCCACCTTCAGCTTTCCCTCGACCCTTGTCCGATCTGCATAGAAGGCCTGGCGAGCTTGAGCTGCCACTAGCGCATCTTGTGAGATCTTGACCGCGTCTTGTCTTGCTTGCAACCAATCAGCTGAATCTCTGCCTCCCTGAATAGGGTTGAGGAAGTCGGGTGGCGCTCTGGGATTTAGACCGTAATTTAAGAAGAACGGTGTGTTTCCTGTAGATGATTGAGTAGCGCTGTTGATAGAAAACTCACAGAGAGGTAGGAGCATATCCCAGTTATCTTGTTTATGATTTACAAAAGCCCTCAGCACATCCTCTACTATTCTGTTTACTCGTTCAGTTAGGCCATCTGTCTGAGGGTGATTGGCAGTACTAAATGCTAGTTTCGTTCCTAAGCGATCAAACAATTCCTGAAAAAATGCTGCCGTAAATCTTGGATCACGATCACATACAATACTAGAACTCAAACCATGAAGTCGAAATACATGTTGAATATACAGATCAGCACTTCCTTTAGCGTCAATAGTAGAGGAAGTAGGTGCTAAATGTACACACTTTGTCAAGCGGTCTACAAATACATATATAGCATCATGACCTGTATCGGTCCTAGGCAAACCCATGATAAAATCCATCGAGATATCCGCCCACGGCTGACTGGGCACTGGTAAATTCTGCAAGAGACCAGTTTTTAGCTGGCCGCCTTTAACTCGTTGGCAGACGTCACATGACTTGACAAACGCCTTTACATCCAGTCCCATTCTGGGCCAATAGAAATATCTAGCGAGTCTGAAATAGGTGCGATCTCGACCGGGATGCCCCGCAGTCACACAGTCATGGTATTCTTGAAGCAGGGCGAGTCGGAGTTTGCTACTCTTTGGAATGCATAACCTGTTCTGTGGTGAAGATCTGAGATAAAGATAACCGGGTGTTTCATTTAGAAGGTAACGGTCGTGCAGATTGTCATAGCTTGAATTTTTCAGTCTCCTGATAATGGGAGCAAGATCCTTGTCGCACTTGTAACCGCTGACAATTAACTGCGCTAAGTCTGGATTAATCTCTAGGGTATGCTCTATGGCATTCAACTGAATGTTAGGAGGATAGGATGACCCGCCTATTTCAGAATCACTGAACAGATCTGGACGGCGTGAAAGCGGGTCGGCAATGTTTTTCTTTCCTGGTTTGTGAAAGACCGTAAAGTCATAGTCAGCTAAAAACTCTACCCATCTTGCCTCACGCTTGGTGAGAGTCGGTTTGGTTCGTAAATAGACAACACCCATATTATCAGTCATCAGGTCAAAGTGGCGGAATAGATAGATTCTCCAGCACTTTAATGCAAATACCACAGCCAACGTTTCCCTCTCGGCCGCAGTATAGTTGCGTTCTGCAGCTGACAGTTTCCGACTACAATAGGCTACGGGATGCAAATCCATATCTTCTCCCTGCTGCAGGAGCACACCCGCCACGGCAAAGTCACTTGCGTCAGTTTCTACCGTGAAGTTTTTCTCAACATCGGCCAGTTGCAACACTGGCGCCTCGAGTAATGCTGATTTTAGAGACTCGAATGCCTTCTGTCTAGCAGCGCTCCATTCAAAGCGTGAATTTTTTCCGGTGATTTCTTCTAATGGACGAGAGATGGTCGAGTGTCGATCTATGAACCTTCGGAAATAGTTAGCAAAGCCAAGAAACTTCCTCACATCAGTTACTGACGACGGAGTTGGCCATGTTTCCACAGCACTTATCTTCTTGGGATCAGGGGAAATTGATGTGCCGTTGATTTTATGCCCCAAGAAGAGAACTTCTCTCACGCCGAATTCGCATTTAGACTGTTTACAATACAGCTCACTATTTCTAAGTGTTTCTAGAACTGTTTGAAGATGATGCTGATGATCTTCCCAGGTCTTGCTGAAAAC